TGATTTCAGATTAAGATCATTATATTGTCATTGTACCGTCCAATGAACAGATAAACAACAAATAACAGGCTCAATGAAAGCGATCCAACAACATTGTCGATGATGACGTTTTGAGCCTTACAGTTTACAATGTAAATCATGTAAATTACAACGTTCAATGTAAGAGATCGTGGCGTTCTACTGTATTTTATTTACATTTTACATATTTGAAAAGGGAGAACAAGGACACTTTCATTTAAGTTTAAAAGTCATTCTCTGTCAAAACATGGTGAAATTGAACGAAAGATTGTAATTTGGAACATATTTTCTTTCCATTTTTGTAATTCAATGTGTACAGTTTTATATTGTATTCTTAAAATAGTAACTAATAAATGGGTTGCTCGGTCCTGGGGACGTCCTGTGATTTCTAATGACTTACGCCGTGTCCATGCATGTAGAGTTATGCTATGACTATAAACGCTACGTTTCTTAACACTCTCACAATTTTACGCGTGACGGTTTCAAATAAATGACAACTTTTGGATTGAATGTTTTCTGATATGTCATATCAAGACGTCTTTCTTCGTGTTAAGACAATGAATGCCGGGAACTGATAAAACCGGGGAAAATTAGAAAATTGAAAGCGAATAACATTTTTGGAATTCATATCTGATTGATTTAAAACTGCAGGTCAAAATAATTTCTTATTATTGCAGATATACCATTTCTTATAAAAACGCTTGTTTTCCTTTTACAATTATTGTATGAAAATTCAACATCAATGATGATAAAATAAAACTGTCAGTCAAAATTATGTTAGAAATAAATGCAATGCCCGTGCTCTAGTGGTTCTTAATTATATTTAATCTTTGTAACTGCAAATCATTTTCTAAATACAAAACTGGCGTTTTAAATGTTCCAAATTCGTTGAATAGAAAAAAGGTGACATGGTGAGATAATATAATTTCATAAAACTTCATAAATCATTTATTTGTATATATTCCTATGACAAGTGGTTTGAAATCCACGTCCTTAATGACATAGCCACGTACGCCCCGTGTATCTGTTTAAGGGTAAACATACATAGTCAAACATGTGGTATGGAGAAACATACTACTTTTAAAAGATTATGTCATGTTAATGATAATAAATTCTCTTTCATAAAAGTTTCAAATTATTATTTTTTTGAAGTTATGTTTAACAGTTTCTTTTCCTGAACTGTTCTTAAAATATCGAACATTTCTAAATTGAAGAGTTGAACAATAATTCTGTTTAAATTTTAGAAACGTAGCCTACACAACCGTTTCATTTATTTTTTGTTTTTTGCCGTGTTGGGCTTTCTTTAGGGATTCTTATTTTCTCTATTTTAGTCAATTTCTATTCGTGAAAGGTGAAATATTCAAGTTCTGGCTAATAACGTAATATCAAAGGAAGTATGGAATTGGTTGTTCAATTATTCTCACTAGAAATTCATGTTATAACCAATATCGCGCCGCAGCCGATTTTCTGCCATACAAAAACACATCCGGTCAAGTATGTGTACAGTTTTGTAAGCTTAGTAAGTGAACACATTTTTACGCTTTTTGCGTATTTGTTTCTTTATATAAATGTCTTTTTGTTGTTGGTGGTGTTTCCTTGCTTTTTGTTCCCGATATTTAAACAATAAACAATACAATTATAAACAAATAAATAGTAACTTTGATTTTTGATTAACGTACTGTTGAAATATTTGACAGTGTCGTCGGAATCAATGATTTCAATGGTTGAATATTTACTATCGTTAGTGGTATTTAGATCACGTGTACGTTTGCACTCCAAAAATTGCCAGTGAAACATGTTACTAAGCATAAAGTAGTGTTCAAGTTTGATTCAGTGTAGAAGTCACACTCTGTATGGCTTTGACATGAATAATGCCAAGCTATTCGAAGAGAGATAATTGTTTTTTAACTCATCTTATCCTTTATCCGGATTATTCTCCCTTGTCGGCGAAGTCATTTGTTTGCGTAAAGTTACTCTAAAATTAAATTATCGGAACACCTTACTACATTACGCTACATTGTAATGTATTATATATATAGTATAACGATTATAATTCAAACATGTGGAAATAACTTTTATTGGATAAACATTTATAGTCAATATCACATATATCTTAATAAATTAAATACTAGGCGACACTATGTATAAAACAACATGACATGAAGTAAATTGTTAGGCAGCAGCTTGGAATGTATGGCTTCTCTATTCCAGACAACAAACGTTTCTAAATGTTTGCATTCTACACGAAGATCGGGAAATCACTATTTCACAATTTAAAATTATGATGTCAACCATAATGGGGTTTTCAATACGCAGTAAATGTTCTTGACACCAGGCACAATTTTTCAACGAGTGGATACCTTTGATTTTGCATCAAAATCCTTGAAACACAAATGACCTTGGTATATTCCAAGTTGTTATAAATTTAAAACATGTGGCACATGAATAGAAACTTTGCATTTACATTTTAAAGGGAAACGCCAATACTCCTGCTAAACTAAATGTAAGTAAATCGCAACCGTAATGCAGGCGTCACACTGTCCCGAAATGGACATAAGATGGGCATACGAATATAGAATTTTTAATTGCGTGCGAAGAAAGCCCCGAAATCGGTCGACAGTCTCCCAACAGCCGAAACAAGCACGATTCCTACAGAAGGTCACGCGATCGCATCCGAGCCACACACGATTCCTACCGAAGGTCACGCGATGGCATCCGATACACACACGAAGTCATCTCAAAGACGCAATTTTGTACCAAGACGTTTACAAGCAGGCGTCAAGTGACATTCACCTTCTGGTGGTATACAACCCACGGCAAACCATTGGGAGCTCATTAAACTACGTTTAAACTTTATATTGGCTCTTCATATTACTATCAAAAACACTTCTATTCGCACAAAAATCTATGATAAAAGTGATGATTTTGATTATGGTATAGTAAACTATCCACATTTAGATAGAGACGTACCGCATGCAACATCTGACAGGGTATATGTATCTCAGTAAATCAGATTCGCTAGAGCTTTAAGCAATGTGAAGGATTTTAACAAGCAAAATATTTTCATTACCATCAGGCTTCTCAAACAGGGCTACCGCCATTGTAAATGACGTAAATATTTTACAAAATTTCACAATCGTAACTTTGATTTAATCTCAAAATTCAGTAGAGATTCAAAAATAATATTATTTTAATGGAGATGTTATTTATAAACTTCGCAAGATCTTTGGTAATTGTAATTGTTCTGTTGTCTTTACTAAAATTATTAAAAGTTTAACCAAAAGAGGTTTTGACCCTACTTTTTGGATATACCACATGCTTAGTGTTCAACACTTTGACAGTTGGTTCTTTCCTCTTTTGATTACATCTGACGGACCAAGTGGGATACTCTGTGATGGACAGTTCTTTATGTCCTTTGGGACTGAATTGCCTTAATGTTCATCTTCTGCCTTGCTTCGTCTGGCCCTTGTAGGTGATTTTTTTGTTACTCTGTCTTCCTTAAAATATTGAGTACTTTTGTTATGGTCATATGGGTATTCCTCTTTATGTATCTACATGATCATTTCGGTGTTTTACTTATTTTACCTTTTGAAACCATAACAACTGTTATAAATTTACTTGGCGGTTATTCATTTTATTTACACCGTTTATAGGAACATAGTGGGCTAAGAGTGAGGTTTGGTGCACCATTAACCGGTTTAAACTCCCAAGTAGTACTTATGCTGCTGACCGGTCCAAGGCGGCACCCTTCTTTGTTCCTCAGATGTATGTCTTTGTTATTTCATACTGTTTTGGTGACACTTTTGTGAGTGTCCCTTGTTGTTTTCTCGTCTACGGTAAGTATTTTCCCTTTTGTCCATTAAATAAATCAATCATTAATTTGTTTTCTTTGATTTCCTTGTCGTTTACAATTGTTTTGTTTTATGTATCATTTAAGTGATAAGCCTACCTGCTCTACCTTGCGCCCTGTCCGATTTTCTGGGGGTCCTCTCGTGTTACTTGGTTCTTGTTGCTTGGTCGTGTTGGGGCTGCGTTCATTGAACGCTGCCTTTCCTTGTTGGTCTTGTTTATCATATTCGAAAAAACTTTATCATGCCAACCAAGGTGGGCCTGTGGGCCTCATCATGTTTTCTAAGGTGTCTTTTGAGTAGCAATGCTGCTGTCTTCTTTTTCTCGGTTGACTCATCATCAAAGCATGTAATTCTGCAGCAAATAAACTGAAAATAATTGTAGATTAATTGCAAATAATGGAAGCTTTTGATGTCCCTGTAGAGATGTGCAAGAGTGACAGATGAGGAAGATGGTCTAGCCGTTTATATGTCCACCATGATAAACATGCAATGCTTGAGCCACTAAAAATTGCCTTCTTCGTCCTCATCGTGGTCCCATCTCGATGACATTGTACCAAAATACGATGGCGACACGACAGTCTTGCGGGGGCTTCGCGTAGTCGTGCTCCCTTTTAAAGACTATCGTGTTTACTTCGTATTGACTTCTTGAGGCTAAAAGTGCCAGATTGCACCGATGATCACATGAAGAAAAGACGAAGTCTACACGATTTGACAAGATGGCTTCACGACGGCCTTACGAAGGGCAAAATTGACATACGAATTCAACACGAAAATGAACATTCGCAATGTCTTCGGGCATTTTTTTTGGTAACATTTTGGAACCGCTCACGAAGTTGCTGCCGGAGCTTGTAATATTCTGCCGGGGATCATACGATGGCAAAAGATGCCCTCACGAATGGCACGATGTTATTACGATCAGATATCCGAATTTGAACATTTCCTTATTCGTGTGTCCATCTGATGCCAAATTCGGGACAGCGTGACGCCTGCATTAAAGATATCCATTTGTCTTAGCGATTGCTTTTGAAGTATTCCCTTTAGTTTTCAAATTAATAATTTATATTTGGAACAATCTTAGTTACCAGGTTGTTATAATATATTTTTAATAAAAGAATACAAGACAGTCAGTCATAAGATTATAATTTTATTTGATACATCAAACACAAGAACATGAACAAAGTAAACTGAAGTATAGTAAATATATGATATCGCTTTTAAAGTTAAAGATCTTAAATCACCTAAAGGAATCATCATATTATACACACAATTTTGCAGACTGATGACTGTTATCATTGCGAACATTAGCTTTTAACCATTTCCAATATGTTATTATATATAAGGAAAAGTAATTTCCCTACTAAGCAGGTAAGAGTATCTAGTGTTAAACAAATGTACAAAATACAACATGTTTTAGGGATAAAAGGATTTGAGCCAAAAAATAATTCTATTGATTAATTATCATGAATACTGCGAATTGCTATAACTTACGCTTTTCTTGGCTTTTTTTTAACTTTTGTCTTCTTCAGATTTTTTTTTAATTTAAACGCACATTTGCCTGTGATCAATTTAAATTTTGCCAATAATAATGTATGTATCTGATCAGGTTAAAATGTTTTTTTTTATAGAATTAGTGATATTATATTGTAAAGATGAACTTTATCGATGACGACACTAATCTTAATTGAACAATTTAATATATCTTAAGTGTTGTACGAAAAATGTAAAATTATATTAATCTATTGGATTTAGACACAATATGCTTTTGGTTAACATGTAACCATAACGAGAATGATAAGTTAGTCTTGATAACAGAAATATAATACATAAGATATTATTATATAATACATTGTTATTTTTTCCTTTTTACATTTACATCCAATCGCATGTTTAATCAATCTTCCATCAATATGCATAAATCTGCAAAAATACATTTATTGGCTTAAAACTTATTTATTTCATTTATTAAGAAGATTTATAGAAATGATATAAGTAATTCGTATCTACGTCTATATATTTGTGTATGTTAATACATTTGTGTTACCTTAATATATATGGTCTACATTTACTAGTATATAACTCTTTAAAAATTTCCCCACTCATTAAAATTGCAACATTAGTGAAAACAAATATTTAATTGTTACTGATAATAGATTTATATATTAACGTGAGAATAATAATACCTTCTCTCTGTTAATGTACAAAATGTTAAGACAAAGAAGAGTCATCCATAAACCATTAACTCATCCTCATGGATGACTAAGGAAATAAATGTCAAAAATTCAAAAATCTTTTTATGCAGCTCTCTATGATGATGTCATGTTTTAAATATAACAAGTGTATGCTAGTTGAACTCCTGGGAAACAAATGTCCTTTATAATTATATATCTACCTTTTGAATAGTTAATCAATAACAGAATTAGTTATACTGATTATATAATATCCGGCACAGTTACGTTATTAACATCCAAACATGCGATGTATGTAGTTTTGTCGGCTTAACGCCCGACTCCAATCTGAAAAGAAGGTTTAAACATTTGTAAGGTACACGGGAATATAACTATTTCGATTATTGGTTACTCAAATATTCAATTTTGTTATTGATTAATCAAACTATCATAATGTAACTGCCATATTACAACTAAATAGAATCAAACTGATTAAATGAATATCAATTTAAAAAATCAAATATATCTTTAATATGCGTTGTGCTTCCATTGTAGAGCAAGACCAGTCTGCAGTTCAGTATTAAAGTCTGAATAAATTCTAGCCAAGCTCCTTTGTGTATGGTACAGTTTATCAGAAGAGATGTAACTTACCGCTTCTCCGGTATTACAGAATCCACACAAAGGACAAATTTTACAAATGTTTGGTTCCTTCAGCAATCCAAACTCATATCTAGTTATTGCTTGATGGGCTTAAACAATTAAAAAAATCATTATGACAGTTTCTTATCTATTATATTTAACCAGGAAAAAATGTGCATGATAACTAACATAAATATTTCGTAGCATTATGGATTTTGCGAAGACATTTCTACTAGAATTTGAATGAAAGTATTGTACTATCCCCTCTGATTTTTGTAAGCCTTGGGTTACAGTATTTCTTATTTTCCTCAGAATGATATTTTGACTGTTATTCCAGACGCATGTGCTATTAATAAACTGTTAAATTATAAGAACAAAGATCAACAAGACCGCTCGACGTTAACAGAACGCAAAATCCACACATAACCACAAAAATGTTCCAAGCTAGAAACCGATCTTAACGGAAAAACAAGGCACAAAACGAGACATGAAAGATGGAATAAAATAACTAAAAGGAATATAGAAATAAGAAGTATAATTTGCAACCATTTCTGCCTGTAAAGTGGATGTATATACAATAGGCACATTGTCCGTAAGTTAATCAAATATAAATAGAAACAAAACTAAATGTATCATTTATGTATTCATACAAAGTAATGATTGCAAAAATAATAAATGTCTATATGATTTAGTATGAACATTAATATATATTAGGAATGATGATATTTTGTTCCAGAATTTTTATCTGCTATATCAATAAATGTAAATATAGATTATGAAGTACCCCACCCTTGCCAACAACATATATAATTCTTACGTCGTTTGTTGTTATGTGTGATATGTTATCAATGTAATTAGTTCTTATTACATACCTTCAATTAAAGACCAAATCACTTTAAGAGCTTTATAAAATTATTATCGATATTTCAACTACCTGGATCATAGTAGTCGTATGCTTTCACATGACAGGCTTGACTCTTGACAACTGGGTCAACACGGTCCATCTTTACAAGAACGCAAATGTCTGTATTTGGATTTACCTGTATTGAAGATAATTAAATAGCGTTATTTAAATGCTTGAATTTGACATACATAGTTATAAGACAGGACAAAAATTACTTTCATCTTTCAATCATTTATTATCATGTCAGATTATGGCTTGAGATTGCTACCCAGGTTTTACAGAGCTGCCACTTCACAGTTACCCAGAACAAGATGTATGATATTGCAGTAAGTGACTGGTATTTTCTTGAAAATAAGTTATTCAAGTTTGCAAAAATATAACGACAAAAATCATTTTTATAGCACTAATTTTCTGTACCCTTCTGTGAATAGCAAATGATTTTATAAGTGAACAATGGTTGCGGGTTGTCGCCATAAGAACCGACAAAAACATTCCAAAACTTCACCTCGAAATATCTGTATTGAAGATAATTAAATGTTTTGATTTAAATGCTTGAATATGATACCTTGTGTACTTCAATAAATTGCAAATGAGATTATATATGCATAACTGTTCAGGATTAAAACCGCGAAAAAACTTTCCAAAACTAGTATTAACACGAGCAAATGTATACAAATGAAATCATTGTACATACACCATTGAAATATAGTGCAATATTTCTTCCATTTGTTTCGTGTTTCTTGATTTTATTCTGAATGTTTAGTATATTATTGTCAGACTGAAATCCTGTAGGCATCTGCACCTCCATGAGTAACATGCCACTTTCGTTTCTACCAGCCCATCTAATATATAATAGTCTCAATATGTAAAAATTGTAATCGATAGCTCTCAAAATGCATATATTAATATATATTTCGATTCTCTTACTAAGACTTTCTCTTTCTTAAGACGTAATTATTGGTGAATTAACAAACATTATAAAACATGATAAGGATTAAATACCATAAGATAAGAAATGTTATGAACAAGGGATATCAGAAAATCAATGAATGTTTAAAATGCTTTTTATACTGTATTTAAGTTATGTCTAATATATCTAACATATGAGAATATTTACTCATGTCACCTTAAGCAGGGATGAATTGTTACGGAATTTATCGACTCTTCTTTCACTCGTGTGTAAACTTGGATGTTATCATCGGTCTCAGTGCCAGTCACATAATATGAAGTAGATACCTTATCAATGACAATACAATAGATTTTTATTAACATCACATTTATTCATCTCTTCCTTTTTTTTTACTTTTAAAATTTTTTTTTTTTGGTTTGGTTTTACGTCACACCAACACAGAGGAGGTCAGTTTGCGACTTCATAATTAACCTGAGGATTATATCAAAACTTTTTGATGCATTATATAAGCGTCACAAGTATAGAACGTTTGACGGAATATTTTTCAGTTAAAATGTTGTCTGAACAAGGTATGTTTCATGCAAGCAATCTTAAATTTTAATAGCATAACTTTCCATATCTAACGTCTTGCAAGAATATGCATGTAAATATGCATGTACTGTCAAAAAAGGTGACGACCAATTTTCCAATGTAAATGTTGTTCTACATAAACAAGAAAAATACTACAAGGTTTGAAGAAATATAAATGTTTTGGATACATATATTTAAGGTTTTGGTTTTGCTAAAAGATAATTAACGTCAATTGTAAACAAGTTATAATTTAACTTTATAAACTTTTCTATACTTTGATGCTCTTTTAAAATCTTTTGCATAATATACTGAAATTGTGTAACCTTAATATATTTTGATAAAAAACAACTTGCATCGATAACTGCTGACCCTGATCCTGTTGCTTGAATCACGAATGTGTCAACATCGTTAGGTACCTGTAACATAAGGTAGATAGAAAAATAATTTACATAAACAAATCGAACAGTTACATAATTGTACCAGATATGACGATTTCTTTGGGAGTACTTTCCTTTCTATGTCAAAAGGCCTTGCATCTGTAATTAGCTTGCCCCTTAATAACCTTTATTTTGTTTATCTCTTCCAGGAAATAAAGCTATCATTTCTTGAATTTTTGCTTTAAAGAATAAGCAAATATACTAACTCACTAATCGAAATGAATTGTTTCATTTATATTGACAACCTATATACATGTAAATGTGTTCAAAATCCTATAATTGAGTAAATTGGTTTGCTGTTCACAAGCTTCTTTAAAAATACCTCGAATGTGTGTACAATATCGAAAGTAGAAGATTTTGTATTATACACGTGATTAAACTTTCCACCATCAGACAATTCAAAAAACACTCCATACTCCGGACCTGGTGTAGCGGCTTGATAAGTTGCAAATTCGGCAAGCGCTTGTATAGATATAACTGTGTCCTGTAAAATGGATTATGACTTCACGTAAAATACTTCATTTGTACCTAATGGTTGTTTTGCTTTGATGCCGCCCACCTCTTAATTACAGTTTAGGTATGTGTGTGGGTTGGTTTGGCCTTTTTGCTATTAATAATTTGTATTAATACACAGAACGGATACGGTACTTTCAGGTTATCTTTGCATTAAACATTAAACATGTAAACATAAAGTAATCATTTCGATTTTGTTTCAATAGATTGTGTAAAGGCCACCTAAATAAATTGAAGGTGTAGATATACAAGTTAACAGTACATTACCAGACAGTATAAATTTCATTATGTTTTTGTAACAAACAGTACAAATGATTTCATGTTGTCATTATTTCTTGTTCTATAACTGTAAGTCATTGTATTCCGATTGTCAGAATATTTATACACATATTTCAATTCAGTTTACAAAAAAATATATCATGATATCACAATGAATAACTACTTTCAGTCCGCATTATCTCCTACATGGTAATAAATAATCAGCAAAGTGTTTCAGATCATTCTATTCAATCTCAATCATCATTCTATAGACACTGCTGTTTACCTGAGTAGATCGTTGACCACCAGTCGGGTTACGTTGTGACACAAGCCACTTTACGATAGGAAAAGCCTCTGCGTAGTACCCAAGTTTCATATAAAACAGAAGGGCATACGATGATGCTTCTACATCCATTGATGGTGCTCTATTTCGTAATGCACGATCACCAACTTCTCTTTTTGTAACTCTATAGTTAGCCTTCCAGTAGGTTTTGTCATCTGGAATGAGAAACCATAAAGTAGTCACTTAGGTTAAAAAGCCTTAAACGTAAAAATTGAATTTCTCATAAAGATCAACTGTGAAACTTGATACGGAAAACTATAAAAATATAAGAAGATTTTAAAGAAATTTACATATTATTATTCTATTGAAAATCAATAACCCAGTAAAAAAGTTTTTATACAACTAATAGTGAAACACGGAGAAATCATATGATAATAAAACAAGTTTTATCAATATTTGTAAATTTTTATAATATACGATTAATATCAATATTTCATTTGGAAAAGATGTAGAATAAAACCATCATGAAAGGCAGCTGTCTTCAGCTTCCTGTGGCATGTGGATCTCGAGGGTCTATTGGCACTTGCTAGAGCGTAGCAAATAATCGCTAGAGAATATGAATCTCTAACATAGTTTAGCTCTGCTTCTAAGTAGGTTGCGGCATTTCTTATTGCCATGGTGACATCGGTACCCTTAAAGACATATTTTGAGAGAAATAACGTTTATTTTGGTTATTATTTGTTTTGCTTCTTAACGTATTATAACACTTAATGTTTATGTTTTTATAAATTGTAGATGTTGATATTATATTAAGTCAACATTAAACTGTTATTTCAATTATCGTTATCATTAGATCTGAATTGACGTTTTTATATGTATTATTTTTATTAATACGTTATAAGTCAATTCGTTTATGGAAGTTAAAGCATTATGAATATGAAACAGGTAAATATGTCACGAGGCTATTGTCATTTGTTTTATTTTGATGTATAAAGCTTTTTTTACTTGCATGTCCTGTCCTACCCACAACCAAATGGTTAAAGAAATTTATTATCAATTCATCTTTCAAAAAAGAATTGTCAGTGAGAAATTTAATAGTTCGAACACAAAGACTGAACTCTAATAAATTCTCTGCGCATACAAGAAGGCAATTTTACAAGGAGGTCCTTCTTATTTGTACTATTTTCATATTATACCAAACAAAAATACAACAATAATTAAAGACAGCCTATGAAAAAGATATAATATTGCATTAACACAATCATTTTTGAACAGTCAGCAAGTTGTTTGACAGCCAGATGTATTATAAAATCTAAACAGTGGTTTTCTGTGTAGTTTTAGGCTTTGCCATGGTAAATGTCTCATTTGCACATTTTGGCGACTAAACATATTTCTTCAAACTATTACAGTATTTCTTCCATTTGTAGAACATTGAAAAACATAGCTTCATCCGTTAAATGACACAGCCATCAAAACATAAGGACTGATTGTTTCATATAGAACAACGTCATTATTATGTTTATCTTTAAATGTTCCGAAAGCTTATCAATTTTACAATATAGGTCATTCAGTATCATTTTAAATGTCAAGTTAATTTTTCACAATCATCAAAAACATTCTGATGAGCAAATAGAAATTATTTAAATTAGAATATTTACTAATTAATATAAGAAAGACTGAAAAAAATAATTATTTATAAACCGTGTATGAAGATAAATCTATGTTTTTCTAGCATTATGATTTTAAGCTAATAGATAACCGATAAACATACGGCTAACATCTCCTTTATATCTCTATTGAGGGAAATTACTTGCATTATTGATACAATGATTATGTGAAATACGTTTAGCTATATTGCCATACCAGCATACCAGAAATGCTTACCTGAACAGTTGAAACATTTCTGTTTTCTAATAATGAAATTAGAATGAATGCTGACATCCTTGCACCGGAAAATGACCCACCCTGATACAAAATTCAATTTCTGTTGTAAGAACGGTTAAAATATATTTATTTGTATTTTAAGTTTTCAGTAAACAGAGCATATTATTTGCAAATCACATTCAAGTAGTTAAGTTTTTATTGGTTAATATTAAGCAAGTTTTAATTAAGAAACAAATTTAACTGTATCATAATATTTTATGAATTTTATTCTGTTATAAATTTCTCTTTATAAAAATCAGGAATTACTTAAACAGTATTCAAATATTTCATATCATCACGAAAACGTCCTTAGCTACAAGTAGGACAATTAACATATATTTATATATATAGGTTTGTGAAAAATATATTTGCATCTACAAAATACCTTTCAAAAACACTGGATCCCAAGAAGGATACAAGAAAGTGAAATTTTTTTTTATACTATACAGTACACACGTATTGAGATCTTGTGCTCTATTGTGTGCACATTATACATTGTAATACACCCCTGATGAAGGCATAAGACGCCGAAAGTACTTGGGTATTTATATAGCACTGCATGAACGTTTATTTTCTCCATATATATATATATATATATATATATATATATATATATATATATATATATATATATATATATATATATATATATATATATATATATACCTGCATTTGAGAATGTATGACTCTTCCTGGTTCGCGAAAAGATCCGTCACTATTTTGGTATCTCAGCAACCAAATCATAGCTTTCGACATAACAGAATCATCAATCTGTATAAGATCTTTTGCTTGACCAAAACACCTCAGAACAAACGCTGTCAGCCTGTTGATCAAAAGAAAATAAATACAATCATTATCTAAATAAATATTTAACGTACTGTCGATGCTACAATGTGAATCTTGACATTACATTTCTTGTCAGCAAATATGGTGTTACAAAAAACTTTTTTTTATTTATCTATCTATAACCTTTTACGCATAAAATGCATCGCAATAATAATTAAAATCAAATGATTAGTTTTGTGGCGGCTGATTTATCATGTCGAATTGGTTATATTTTTCTCGGAAAACATTGCTTTCCAGCATTTTGCATTTGGTGTGTGCCGGTTGTACACGCACACCAACACATTAATATGTCACATGGAGGGTCTGCAAGGAAAGTTCGGCAGAAAACTATTAGACAATGTGTGCCAAATGTGTACCGAGCAAATATCTTTTCAAAATTTCTTTTAACAAATGTTGAGGACAAATATCTGAAACTTTTAAATATTTTATGTAAAATAATAAACTTCTTAAATAGCTTCACATTTTTTGCTATGAACAAAAGTTGCTATTTTAAGTTCTAAGGGCAAATTAGTCCATGAACACTTAAAATAAAGATCTGTTTAAACAAAATAAGAGCAATGCAAAAATGTACGAAAAGCAAATATGATGAAATGCGAAGCACACTGCACACAACAGGTGTAAACTGGAAATATGTTATTGTCGTATTTCTCTTAATTTTATCTTCCTTTGTATTTCGCAAAAAGAGAAACACAATATTTTTAACCAATCGCATAATTAATAGACTTATAATTCCATGCTTTATAAGGAAATGCTACTTAAATTTACTAGTGTTGTTTATTGTCACATTTCATCGGTGACTAAAATCGGCTTTTTATTAATCAGCAAATATATAGTGGTCTGAAATCTATATACCAGGTGCTCCCATAAAAATCGTTGTTTCCAAATGCACTAAACGAACCGTCATTGCGATGATATTTCAGTTCTTGTTGTAGCCCTAGAACAAATTAAAAAAATAACGTGTGAAGTCAACTTGATACTGCGAATTCACTTATATGCGTGGGCATGATATTTCGTGGTTTTATCAAAACCAGCATTTTCGTGGGTTCTAAAATTCGTAGATTTTCAATTTCTTGTAAGAAAATTAAATAATAAACCTAATGCAAAGTAATCTTACACATAACCGCCGCGCATTTTACTTACCGCATGCCCATATCTTTACGTGTCAATAAATTTAATCCCTGCATCTGGGCATTCATTGCACAAAAATCGCCGATGCATGTTTGTAATATATAGAAAAGAGACATGGCAATAAGTATTTGTCGGGATAAAATTTCATATGATCTTAAATTCGTGGATTGACCTACCAACGAAAATAGACAGGACTGACTGAGAATTTGGCCCTCTAAATTTGGCTAGAGACATTTCGTAGTACAAGTGGTATCTTGGTGTATTTAACCCATTTAGGGTATGCTGAATCCGATAAAGGTGTATACAAAACTAAACAACTTGACCTTGACCGTTGAAATGACCATTTAAAGTGACCACTTTAATTGCCGCCAAATGTCTTTATCATAAATGGCTGATATATCAAATAAAACTTTTAAAGATAGGAAAAGCCTGAAATTTGTCACAAAGCATGTTTAGGTAATAACAAATTAGACAATAAAACAGAATTTAAAATAAAACAATCCAATTTGGACGAAAAATCCAAGATGGCGGACTTTGGCGGACTTTTTTGCTCAATAGGCCAATATAGTAGTAATATAGAAGTAGTATTAAATATATAATACTTTAAGGCATTTAAACATAAGAAACTAGAATATAAGAGATAAAAATTCTAGAAAGCCCCTACTCCTTTGAACCATCACTATATTTAGGGTTTACACAGCGACCACTACACTCTTCCCTGCCCTATCTGCTAAATATAGACCTTTCAAGTATTTTATCTGGCACTATATGCAAGCATATAGACTGGCTACTTAGATTCCTACTTATATTTGTACAACACTATATGCCAGAATTTCTTAAACAAGGTCTTTAAACTTGACTGAAAAATTTCTTAATAGTTTACTCTTACTCTTCAGAGCTGCCCAATGCAATTCACTCATTGTGATGTTGAAATATTTAGTAGGATGATTAATATTGTCATTAGAAATTTAAAACCAATAAAACTTATATAACAGCTTAGATTTAATTTGTTTCATTAAAGGGTTTCTTATAACTGTCAACAACACTTTCCTCCCATGCATGTTTCCAAGTCAGATATCAGTGAATGAGGATTCCTCTTGAGACTAATGCATCATTTATATATAAACATCTACATATATGTACCAGCTGAACTGCATGAGCATCTAGAGGATTATATGTTGATCCCAGTTAAAATGCCCTATCCAGTGACTTACTTTTTTTATTGACCCATAAGCCACAACATTAGGGGAAAGCTATGTTACTATGATGTCAATAATTGGAGTAGGTTTTTATAATGACATTGTTATAAAGCCAAAGGATTCAAGTCTAAAATCAAGCTCAAGCAATAACAAATTTAATAATGAAAACCTTTAATTATTATAAATAACGAAAAGAAATAGGATTTTTCAATGTTTAGAACGAGCTTCAAAATGGCCATGTCAAACAATCAGTCAGATATCTGAATCTTATAACGGCCGACTTTTCTCGTAATGGATGTGTTTTTCATAATGGCTGAGTTTTCTATCCATAATGTCGTGGCGAAAATGTATCAACTCTGAAAGTGCTAATGTGCCCAGTATTGCACCGTTAATTAAAAACGCATATTATAAAACTCAAATTGAATCAAAAACCTCCAAACCCTTGGCCAAAATAAGAAAATAAGTTTTTTCGTTGGCAGCAACATTTATCCCAGGTGACTTTGTCATCAAATGAGATGTCATAGTCATGACTTCAAATTCTGCTACATGCTCGTTTTATTTTTTTCACAAGAAATCCTACAGCTCGCAATTCATGAATAACAAGCAATTATCATAGTATTGCAAGCAATCCATAAGTCCCCTGCCGGTAAGAGCCAAAGCAACATTCTGAAGGGCCATTCACTTATGTTTCTATTTTAAGTAAATTTGTTGAAAAAGTTCTTTAAAAGTGATCACAGTGAACAGTTTTTATGTACAGACAGACAGACGGACTGAAGGACACTCTAAAATTATTTTTTAAACATCCCTGTTATCAAAATATAACATTTTTAAAAGCAAAATTTTAAAAAAAGGAGATAACAATGTCATACAGGATGTGAGTGTAACAAAGAACAATTAGTAATGAAGGTATGAATATTTAATGTTTATTTTGAATTTGAAATAAATGAAAGTTAAAAGAACGAATAGGAAAAATTAAAAGTTTAAGGAAGAGATAATTCTGGAAATATGGATGCTAGATTTATAAACCTTGTTATATTATTATGATGTTGGAGTTTGAAGAAAATCCTATCATGATTGAAGAAGTTGGAATAAAAATTACCAATTTCTCAAAAAAAAGTCTAAGTTCAAAAGGGGCATAATTCTGGAAATAGTCTTGCTAGAGTATTGAACACTCACAAATGTTGAGTGATAAAAGCAAACATTTATATGAAGTAGATAGGTTCAGAAAAAAAGAAGTTATTAAAAAAAACAATGTTTTTTTACATGAAAATTTTAAGTTCAAGGGAGGTAATTCTGATAAATTTTGTGCTAGAGTTGTAAATTTTGTCACATATGACGTGGTTGATGACTAGCAACTTATATTTAAAGTTTGAAGAAAATACATTAAGAAATAAAGAACTTATGGTGAAAAAACTTAAAAACTAGAATCAGAAATCTTGATATTCAGTCTATTTGTTGCCATTGCAACCAGAATTTTCAATACAGGAAGATAAGAAAAGAATATGCATAATTTCCATACGGCCATCTACCCATATGTCAAGTTTCATAAAAATATTTTCAGTACTTTTTGCGTTATCGCTGGATCCAGGTTATGTGTAAAATTTGCCATATTTTCCGTCTATTTGTTGCCATAGCAACCAGAATTTTCAGCATAGGAAAAAAAGAAAAAGACGTGCATAATCTCCATACTACCATCTATCCATGTATCAAGTTTCATAAAAATATTTTCAGTATTTTTTGCGGTATCGCGGGATCCAGGTTATGTGTAAAATTTGCCATATTTTCAGTCTATTTGTTGCCATAGCAACCAGAATTTTCAACATAGGAAGAAAAGAAAAGACGTGCATAATCTCCATACTGCCATCTATCCATATATCAAGTTTCATTTAAATATTTTCAGTACTTTTTGCGTTATCGCGGTATCCAGTTTTGTGGACGGACGGACTGACGGACGGACAGACGGACTGACGGACAGACGGACGGAGGGTTAACCTAAAGTCCCCTCCGGTAAACCGGTAGGGGACTAATTAACATTTTAAAAAAATATTATATTATGCAAACATTTTGATTGTTTTTTTTTTAATAACAGTAACTTGTTATCGAAGCCGGCACAAAGTAGGTTACGACAAAGTGTTCTACTGTGATGTCAGCCAAACAGATAAACTACAACATGCACATCCAGTCTAAAATTGTCCAAGAGATTTTTAATTGTAACCCTTCAACACAGTACTACTGCTACATGAAATTGTATGTACCAAATTCAAATTAAAAGGTTTGCTCTGTACATCACACTTATGTTATACATACATATTATTATAAACAAAAGTATTTGAATACTTATCTAAATATTTCATATTTGCATGGAATTTGTTATCCAAATATTTTCCAAATTTGTTAATAAAACTCAAAATAGCTAAATCTTTGCAATTTTAAAATGAGACAATTGAAAAAAACAAGTTATCATTATTGTCCATGTAAAATAATGTTATTCTGTCAACCCCCAGAGAAAAGTTAGAGAATCCATTGTAACTGCTGTGAAAGAATAAGAAATAATTGTGACTTAATCACTTACTTTTTAAAGTAATTCGCTCAATGTCTGATTATGGCTATTACAACCCATAAGAAGTGTAAAATTTGAGTAACTTGTTTCTAAAGGTAATGATCCACTAAATCACTGGGTATACTTATATAATTCATGCACCGCTTTTCATGCAGTTATCCTTACTACAAACATTATTTAATGGTCAGAGGCTGAGCCACTCTTAAACTACTCTTCCTCCTCTATTACTCACTGGGACAAAGCTCTTCCTATAGGTACCATTACCACCACTATCACTTAACCTAAGTCCTCAAGACACTCAGCATCAACGGCAACATTATTTAATCTGAGAGCGAGCTTCCCATATAAAAGTTGTAGGAGAGTTATCAGAAGACTGTTATGACCGTACGATTGCTTATCAGTTCTTACCACCACTACTCCACCACTCATAACCACCATACATTTTCTGCATTTACCCCCCAAAAATACGGACAAATAGTCCTGTTGGTATTTACATACCGATGAGTTGGCTTCATGGATAGTGTGGATAATGCTTACAACTTTCTCAGCTCAAGCATATAACCTGTTTGTCAAAAACTTTAAATATTCACCTAGTTCTCAATTGCGTTTTGGCTGATTCTTGTGGGATTTGAAAATGAAAGCGCTACAGTTGCTTTTGACATTGAATTTCCAAAGCTCAAATTACCAATAGCCTTGACTAACCTAGGTTAAAAGTCAAATGAGATCATGGCATGATACGCTCATTGCCTTATTGTGGTGCGGTGAAATCAATAAAAACCCTAAAATAAAAAGAATGTCGCCTAGTCAACCCTAATTTTCTTACAAGTCACTGGTTTGCATTACCTTACATAGATGTTTTATTATCGTTGTTTGTTTGGTTTTTATGGTTTGGATAATTTCAACACATAAATGGCCATATCGTGCCGAATGCTATAATAGGCTTAAAATATTATGTAAAACTGTGTAAATGATAATAAAAAAGAGCCAATTAGATCCTTGAATACAAGTTTATCTCTTTCAAATAATCGATGATGTTTTTTGATGGAATTGTATTAAAGAGTTCTTTGAGTGAATTTACATTATGAAATCTATTACGGGCCTG